AAAACCCAACCCCGATGGCAAAACACCGGGGGGGGGGTCAGCAGTGGGAAGGGAAAAAAAGAAGCTCTAGCAGGACACTATAATCCAAGAGACTTGGAGTGCCCTCGGGGAATGAAGTTTTTGACCGAGTGTTCAAGAAGGAGGTGGACGCATGGGGTTGTGTGTGAACAAGCTGCAGTGCCACAAAGCAGCAGGAGCGGATGGGATAGTCAAGGAGTTCATGAAGTTTGGGGGAAAGGGGATGATCCAGCTGATGGTACTGCTATACAATTGGGTGTGGAAAAACGAGTATACGCCAAGTAGATGGAGGGAAGGAGTGGTTGTGAACTTGTTTAAGAAAGGAGACAAGACTGACCCAGGAAACTACAGGGGGATCACACTGTTGAACACAGTAGGAAAAGTGTTCTGTAAGCTGCTGAACGATAGGATAGTGGGAGTATTGGAGAAGGAACATAGCATTAGTGAGGGCCAGGCAGGTTTCCGCAAGAAGAGGGGGTGCGTAGACCACGTGTTCACGGTAGGGAGAATCATCCAAGGTAGAAAGAGGGCGGGAAAGCCGACGTACTGCTTCTTCCTGGACGTGAAAAGGCATAAGACACCGTATGAAGAAATGGGCTGTGGAAATAAGTGTCCAAGTACGGGACCAAGGGGAAAATGTGGAGAGAGCTGAAGAAGATGACAGAGTGAACGCAAAGCGCGGTCATGATAGACGGAGAACTGTCTAAATTCTTCGACATTGAGCAGGGGGTCCCACAAGGTTGCACGCTGTCCCCAACATTGTTCCAGGTGTTCATCAACGATCTGTTGGAAGTCGTAGAGGCAGTCCGGAAGGGAGTAAAAGTAGGGGACACGGAAACGTCGGTTTCAGGAATGCTGTTTGCGGATGATTTTGTCGGTATGTCGGACACCCCTGAGGGACTGCAACTGCAAATTGACGCGGCGAAGAAGTTTACTGATAAGTGGAGATTGTCTGCCAACGTTCAGAAGAGTGCCGTCATGGTATGCAACGAGAACAAGGAGGAACCAGTAGAACATAGATGGAAGTGGGGGATCGAGGAGATTGCAGTAGTGGACCAGTACACATACCTCGGAGTAGAGATCGCAAAAGACTGCTCGTGGAATGCACACATGTCCAAGGTAGCGGAAAAGGGCAAAGCACGAGCAGGGAAGCTGCACCCAATACTCGCAAACCGGCACCTCGATACACGCATCAAATTGACGGTTTTGAAGAGCGTAATCGTACCGCCGCTAGAGTACGCCGGAGAAGTATGGGAAGGAAATAAGAAGGTAGTGAAAGAACTCGAGGCGGCGCAGATGAAAGCAGCGAAAACCATCCTAGGATGCTCCAGGCGCACAAGTAATGCAGCCGTGAGGGCAGAATTGGGGATCCAATCCCTACGGTCGGGAAGAGACGCGAGGAAGCTGACCTGGCAGTATCGCATGTGCGGGATGGGAGAGGAGAGGTTGCCGAGAATTGTATGGGAGGCGAAGTGGGCAAACAAAAAGAGGGGTAGACAACCCACGGAATGGGTCAAGGTTGTAGAGGACGTATGGAAGGGGCTCGACATCGACGAAGATGAAACGCTGGAAACGGAGGGTCTACAGGGGTTCAAGGAGAAGATATCTGTTGCTTGTGCCGAGAGAGAAGAACAGAATCTGAGGAAAGAATCCAAGGATAAGGAGGGTCTAGAAGTGTACGGAATGTTGAAGGAAGGAATAGGGTTCAAGGACTACCTACATGGACCAATGGATGCAGGAACAAAGCTTAAGGTCAAATTCAGGACCGGGGACATAGGCCTTCGAGAACGTCGACGAAGACATAGGACGGTAGACGAGGAAGACGACGAGTTCAAATGTGATTGCGGCTTCGAATGCGAAGACCGTGTTCATGTAGTCGCGGAATGTCCGTTGTACAAGAAGGAGAGGGAAGTGTACGTGACTGAGCTGGGAAAAATAGATGGAACGTACAGGGAGATGTTTGAGGCATGGAATAGAGAGGAAAGGACGGTAGCTGTACTGGGGCATAGGAGGTGGGTTGAAAAGGCGGGAAGGGATATCGTTAGGATAGACAGACTAGGGAAGACATTTTTGAGCCACCTTTGGCAAAGTAGGAAGGAACGATTGGCCATCGGTGATCGGTCCTGTGGGAACAATGCTCCGTCCTCTCGAGGACGCGTGGTCAATGGTCTAACCGCTAAGGCATGCAAAACACAAAGAGTACGCCCCCCCCACCCCCCACATCGTACCTTCTTCCCCACGACTCTCTCTGCCGTTGTGTTCACTATGGACTCCCACCCTACAATGACCCTGTCCCTGCTGCTTGTACGTCCACCTGTCCGTCTTCAACGCTCCTCAGCAGTTTGCTGAAAGGTTGTACACTACCAGCCAGTACCTTCTGGAATTCATCCCGTGTCCCATCGTCTCCCAAACGCTCTACGTTCCACCGGAACGCTTTCCTCTGTTTCTTACTCCCCTTCTTTCTAGATCGGTCGATGTTTGCCCATATGAGGAAGTGGTCGGTCGAACCTATATCTATCGCACTTACGTGCAGCTCTGGGATCTGCGTGCTCCCCCTATCTACCAGGATGTAGTCGAGGATTGAGTATTCATTGCAAACTGCCCGTTGCCTTGTGAACTCCGGCTTATCGCATTCCCTCCTACCGTTCAACACCATCAGTTCGTTGCTTCCCAAGAATTCAAGCATCCTCACTCCGTTGTCATTCACTTTGTCTTCTCCGTGCTGCCCGATCGCCTGTCCTCTACTGGAAGCTTTCCCTACTCTGGAGTTGAAATCGCCCACCATGACAACTTCTCTCTTCCTACTGGACCTCTGGACATCTTCCCCAATTTGTCCAAAGTTCTCCTGCGCCTTGCTTATGACCTTCTTCGACTACGGTGGGACGTGTACGTTCCCTACAAATAAATCTTTCTCACCCCGCTCCCCAATGTTAGGCCATAGGCTTTCCTCGAACTCCGTTTTCACCACTACTTCCACCACGTCAAACAAATGTTCCTTGACCAGGAATCCGCCCCCCCCCCCCCCCCCTTTATTCGGGTCTCGGGGGGGGGGATAAGACGCGAGAGAGACTGTGAGGGAGACAGGGATGCCCAAGAAGTCCCCACCAATCGAGGAGCCTTCCCTGGATCGCTTAAAAATCGTTCACTCTTCCGTTGTGACACTTGCTTAAAGATCGACCGATCAACAGTTATGACACCGTCGTCAACGCGAACTTCACGCCCCCCACCCAAAGTTCGTGCCGCAAGCATCTTGAGGCTTTACAACATGCAGTGCATACATGCAGTCTCAAGGCGGAACGAAGAGGTGAACAGCAGGACCAGGGCAAGCGACCACAAACTGAGGCAACATGCCTTGAACTAATGGCTGCGGCATATCATACTGCTGTCAGAGGGCTATAACAAGATGAGAACACGGGAGTGGCTACAGCGTGAGGTGCTATGTATCGGCCACATGCGTGTGTACGCGCGTACCGATGGGTCTCTTGGTGACCGAAACGTTTCGATTAGATCTTCAACGACCCGCATCCCCATCACGCTCGCTGACTCTTTTGCCAGCATCGCTGCTCGTTCTCTTCCTGTAAGTATGTGTGCACTATGCACAAACGATGGTTGTCACTTCTCACTCACATCGGACAATCTGCTTTCCAGTAGCCGCTGCTCCCCTGCGATGGCTGGAGAAATGCTGAGGCATTCTTCCAGCAGCTCCCCGTCCTCTCTACTCAAGGCGATGGCAACCTGCTTCACATACCCTGCTTTGTGGGTGTATACGCACGATAACGGAGTTGAGGTGGCATTGTGGCATTTCAGTTGACGAGAGAGTAACAAGAAACGGCGAAACGCAACGTTCGGCCTTGTCTCTGCTTGCGTTGTGAAGTACCAAGATTGAACCAAGGGGGTGTACCTCATTCTCTCCGGCCCGTGATGGTGACGCCTAGTCTCAGTTGTTACCTCGCATAGCGCGCAGAGGGAGTGGAGGACTCCAGAATATCTGTCGTTGATTTCTATTGACTTGCGGACCCCTCGGGGCCATTTCATTTGAGTGTACCTTTTTAAGGTAAGTTAGCCTGTGACCACGGGAATCGACCGCGTCGAGTGTTGTATCAATACCGACATACAAGGTACAGGGTAGAGAGAGATCGGAACGGTTTTTGAATGTGAAGACAACACCCACAACGTTCGACGTTACGATGTTACAGCAGTAGTCTACTCCAAGAGTGGTTGGTTACATAGACTATGGCGCTCAACCTTTCGCAATCAAACATCAGTTGCAGCTGTAGGCCATTCATGTACAACACATGTACCTCCACAGCAGTACTGCTGTCTGCTGTAAGCTTGAAGTAACCGGGACAGGACCAATTTGCATTTTGCCTGGATACAACAATGATGTAGCAGCAAGAGCCCCCATTTTCGAATGCTGTTGCTGCTGGCTTTTGTATCCAAGTACAAAACAACAACGTGGGCTGGTTCAGGGGTTTGCCGACACTTAGATACCACCATGGCTGACAGAAAAGCGCTGCTATAGGCCTCCTGCTACTGTACAGCTGTAGGTGTCGCTGTCATACATAGCAGGCGAGGTGCGATACTGCTCCGGGTGTGTTGCTGTAGACTGAGATTACAGTAGTCTCACCCTCACAACTATTCGGCATATGAGGCACGGACATCACTTTCACGACTCACGACGCACCCACTCTGCCGAACCCTTCATGACCGCGCGTTACCTTGAAGGGCCATAGATTCTCGTGGTTGCGCGTGCTTTCTTTGGTCTATCATCGTGCGTAGGTCCGTCGCGTCTCTCTCTGCCCTGCTCACTCCTCTCTGCTGCGTCGGGCTTACACAGCTTGTCATGGCTCACAAATGTTGCAAGAAAAGTTGGAGTTCTGCAACTTGTCTAATAATGGGAGCAAACAGTTGCGCAAAACGAATACTTATTCTAAATATAAGGGCGGTTTGGACAAAAAGCGGTCTAACTCGGGCCTGCAGAACTCTTTTCCCGAACCGTTTTTTTTGTTGGTTCCACCGCACTGCTGCGCAGCGCGCAGAACCGGGGTCCTTCTGAACACACACCAGCAAGGTGCAGCCCACAGCAGCAGACCGCGCCCGATCTCACCACCCCAACTTTGTAGCTCCGGTCAAACACCTTCCCAACTGCTGTTGAGCCATGTCCGCTGCTGGGAGTGCCTCTCAAGGGACGAAACGCAAAGAATTTCTTCAACGTTTTGGAGAGAGAAGAGGTGATTCGCCACCTTCTGCCGTCCTCTGGGGTGACGGGGTCGCAGGGTGACGGGGTCGCAGGGTCCGACAACCCACGACACAACCCCCAGCACCGGTCACCCCGGTGGTCTAGTGGTATCCTCGTAATCCGCTAGTCGCAGAGGTCGTGAGTTCGAATCTCAATGGCGTGAAAAATACGAAAGTTGCGGGTGAAAGCGAAATAGTCTATAGTTCAATCAAAAAGCTCGAGCAAACTCCTTTGTGTTGGTCGAAGATGGACTGCGCCTCTGCACAAGCCCAACATGTCACCATGCACATACTACTCCTGCCGTTCACCTGTCGCCGTCCTTCCACATCTACCTGTCCATGACACATGCTGCCACTTGATGCGGCAACTTCTGGGAACAACACGGACACAGGGAGTACCCCCGTACCCGTACGCACAACCTCTCATTCCTCCCTTGTCAAACACAAATGATGTAACATGCATGAAATGATGAACTCTGTCTATATTTACGAGTATGGTCCACGCTGCCTACAAATCGGAGAGGTAGCCATACCTCCTGCCTACACACGGACGAGAGAGGTGAACACACCCACTGCATTTAACACACACCCACATGTCGGTGGTGAAACCTCATCAACCACACGCCTCTATCGGCGACCACGTCATCAGGAGGCAATGATGAGAAATGTTCTCCCGTGCCCTTCTCACATTTAACGACATGAAATTCCACAACATAACATATATGAGACACACAAGACAGCTACCAAACTGATTTGTTGAGTGAGCCTGTCACCCGAGAGTTGTCCCTATATGCTGTCTAGGAAATCGTAGACATACAGGTAGTTTTCTCTGACCCTATGCTTCAATTGTTAATCTGTCTCTGACTCTTTTTCTATGATAGAGATGGCACATCAGCCGCACATACTCCGCACATGTGCATACTAAACTGAGAATATGTTTGTAAACTGATGGAGATTGCATGTGTTAGAACTAATAGGGTGCGACACACAAAACGCCCGACTACCCAACAGTACCCAACACCTTTCGTCTGCACCTTCCCAACATAACATATATGAGACACACAAGACAGCTACCAAACTGATTTGTTGAGCCTGTTACCCACAGGGGAGATGTCCCTATATGCTGTCTGGGAAATCGTAGACACACAGGTAGTTTTCTCTGACGCTATGATTCCATTGTTAATCTGTCTCTGACTCTTTTTTATGATAGAGATGGACTCGTTGTGTCATATTAAGAAAAAAAAAAAAGCTCCCGTGAGTACCAATTCTTCGACGTTAGCACCGTTGACGAGGGAAAGGGACGGCTGGACCCTTC